TTCTTTCTTATCATTCCTTCATTCATGTAAATCGTTTCTTTCGATCGTTACTTTTTAGTAGCTTCTTTTTAACTTTTTCTTATTCTTTCTTTCTATCTTTCTTTTTTTCTTTCTTTCTTTCTTTTCATTCCTTCATTCATGTAATTCGTTTCGTTCGTTTGTTACTTTTTGGTAGCTTCTTTCTTTTTAACTTTTTCTTATTCTTTCTTTCTTTCTTTCTTTCTTTCTTTCTTTCTTTCTTTCTTTCTTTTCATTCCTTCATTCATGTAGTAAGATGAATATCTACCATGTATTCAATTGCGAAAGCAGAATAAAATATATCTTATCTTTATTAATTCAAAGCTCTCAAGAACATAAAATTTCGGCATTGAATGACCCATAAGGTGTTGATATGCCGTGAAACAAACAAATCGATCAATCAATCAATCTCTTTTGTAGTCGTCCTCTTGAGCATGTATACAGTGATGTCACAACGTGTACTGCTCACAGAAATCTATTTCGATTTCCGTATGCTGTTCAGAATAATGTAACTTTATGAAGTATCATGCAGAATTTAAAAAAACACCAATAAAGGATAGAAAAGGAAAAATAATAATCTACATAAAAGGAAAAAATAATAATCTACATAATTAGCTGAAACAAAAAAAATGCCCTAGTATCTTTGATAAAATCTTTTATTCATAAAATTTACATTATTATTATTATTATTATTATTATTATTATTATTATTATTATTTTCTTTGATTTCTGATGTGTACACATTTCGTTCTGCGTCCCGCCCAGAGACCTAAGGTTAGAAATGGGTTTTATGACATTTTTCACTGACCAATTAAAAAGAAACGAAAAAAACAAAAACAAAAACAACAACAAAAACACACACACACACACACACACACACACACACACACACACACACACACACGCACACATACATATTTTACATAGATAAAGCCCTTCGTAAGGTGTGAACTGTACTCGTGAGAACAATTTTTTGTATTTCTTTAAGGCATGAGCTTTCAAGAATCCCTTCAATGAATCTTTTCCAACTAATCCGAGGGCTCCAACTACAACAGGGATTTTTGATGTTCCCATGTGCCACATTTTTGACAATTCGATTTCAAGGCCCTTGTATTTTGATAGCTTTTTGAATATCTTCAAAGATACATCGCCGTCTGTAGGGACTGCCATATCAATAAGGAGACACTTTTTTCATTATATTTTGATTTCTGCTATGGAAAAACATATGGCAGGTACTGGCGTGTTGTTATGGCTACCTTTCATCATTTGTTTATCTAACTCCTCCCGTAAAATCACTAGCGTTACATGCACGAAGTGTGTGGGCTGTATTTGCCAAGATAAGTTTTTATATTTCTCTTAAGCTGGGATTTCCAGGGATTTTTTCAATGTGTTGTTGTGTTCCTTTTTTATCATTCCAAGCACATCTACTATGACTGGTATTATTCTTGTTTTCATTTTCCATATTTGTTTCTATTTCGATTCTCAGGTCCTTATACTTTGATATCTTTTCAAATTCCTTGGTTGCTATGTTACAGTCCGCTGGGCAAGCCATATCAATTAGTAGACAAGGTTTTTCTTTTCGGTTTTTGATCAATGTGTCTGCCTATTTGCTTCATTTTCCTGTCTGTAAAGATGGTGCAATCCCATAGAATTGTGATGTCTTCCGTTTTTGTAACAACAACAACAACAATAATAATAATAATAATAATAATGTCACCAAAATAAGATATTACAAACGAACCATAAGAAATTTTACATGGAAATTGGAAAAAACAGTTATAGATATCAAAAAATCGCCATTTATTGAAAAAGTGCAGAGATTTTTTTGAGAATATTTGGAGTTGCCCAAAGGAATAAAACTCCAAAGCAGAGTGGATTCAATGAGAAGAAGAACGAATAATGGATAAGCCTCTACAAGAACGGGAAAATATAACAGAGACTAATATTAAAGGAAAATTAAAAAATGGAAATCCTCAGGAAATTTCAAGGTACCCAAATTTTGGCTCTATTATCTGTCGTCAATCCATAAAACCTTTGCACAAACTTTATCAATGCTTATTAATAATCCCAATGAAGTCCTAGAATGGATCACTGAATTACATATCTCCTGCCAAAAACAGGTGAAACAGATGACCCGAAAAATTATAGACCAATAACATGTCTGCCCACGACGTATAAACTGATCATGTCTGTCCTCATCAACTGTACTTACTCTTTTCTGGAAGAAAACCATATTCTTCCCATAGAACAGAAAGGATGCCGAAATAAAGTAAGAGGAATGAGACGGAATAAAGAATGGAGAATAAGACGGAATAAAGAATGAAGAATAAGACGGAATAAAGAAAAAAGAATAAGAAGAAATAAAGAATGAAGAATGAAGACGGAATAAAGTACGAAGAATAAGACGGAATAAAGAATATTAAAAAATACAGACAGAATGATTAATCAGGAGTTGCTGCGTGACTGGAAGTCATCTATTTTCTGTCACCCGGTAGATTTGTTCCAAAAACGTTTGACGAACTCGTGAGAGTCTAGGTAAAAAATAAAGTCATAATATGGAATTCAAACAATAGTAATTAATAAATGTATTAAACAGACATGTTACAGAAAGGTAATATAAGAAATGAACTTGAAGTGGTGAAGATTTCAAAACAAGCATCAGTAAATATGTCTTTGAACTTCTGGTATACCTCAAGTCAATCGGAGCAAGACAGAACGTTTCTTGGCGCTTCTTGGAACGAGGAAGAAGCTGTCAAATCTTGCGCCGCCCGTGCTTATCGTCAGGGGCCGATAATTCAGCAGAATAAAAAAATAAGAAGAAACAAAGAACAAAGAACAATGAATATAAGGAAAAAGAATAAAAAAGTATAAGGAATAAAGAAGAACGGTTAACTAAGTAATAAGAAGGAATACGGAAGAGAGAAGAACGATTAACAAGTCATAAAAATGAAAAGGAACATGGAAGAAAGAAGACTGAATAATAAGGAATAAAAAATGAGAAGGAATACCGAATAAAGAAGAAAAGTAAGATAAGGAATAAAGAATAAGCTGTAATAAAGCATAAAGAAGAATTACAGAATACGGAATAAAGAAGACTGATTAATAAGGAATAAAAAATAAGAAGGATTGAAGAATAAGGTAAAAATGATTAATAAGGAATAAAGAATAAAAATAATAAGGAATAAAGAAGAATGGTAGAATAAGGAATAAAGAATAAAAATAATAAGGAATAAAGAAGAATGGTAGAATAAGGAATAAAGAATAAAAATAATAAGGAATAAAGAAGAATGGTAGAATAAGGAATAAAGAATAAAAATAATAAGGAATAAAGAAGAATGGTAGAATAAGGAATAAAGAATAATAATGAATAATGAAGAGTGGTAGATAAGGGATAAAAAATAAGAAGGAATGTGGAAGAAAGAAGAGCAATTAATAAGGAATAAAGAATGAGAAGGAATAAAGAAGAATGGTTGAATAAGCAATAAAGAATATGATGCGAATAAACAAGAATAGTAGAATAAAGAATAAAAACTAAGAAGGA